ATGCTGGTCAGACATGCCGAAAGCCTCACCCTCGGCACCGCTGATTTTCCCGCCTCGACAACGCTTGGCACGCAGAGTTTGGTGACGAGGCCGAGCGCCCCCGCTGGGCAGAGCTGCTTAGGTCTGGAGTTGCTATCTTTGTCCTAGACTTTGATGTTATCCTTGTTGTTATGTATGCATTGTCTGTTAGTGCTGAGGGTGACTGTTACCTGTGTGTGCCGTCTGACCCAGGTATAGAGGCTGCTGCTCTAGGTGCTAGTGATTCTGTTCTCCCTGGTACTGCGCCTGCTGAGGCCTTGCACACCTTCACACTTGACTCAGGTGCCTCACGCTGTTTCTTTCGCGACAGCACCACCCTCACTCCTCTCTCAACACCTGTACCAGTCAGACCGACTGACCCCTCAGGGGGCCCAGTCCTTGCTCATTCCTCCACTGTTCTCCCGTGTCCGGCGGTTTCGTCCGGCTCACTCTCAGGTCTTCACCTCCCCTCGTTCTCTACGAACTTGGTGAGTACAGCTGCCCTCCAGGATGCGATGGTCACTACCACCACTCATGGGGGTCAGCGTGTGTCGATCTGCATGTGTACACGGACGGGCCGTCACCTGGCCACGTTCACTCGTCGGCCAGAGTCGAGTCTGTACACACTGGCTACTGAGCCTCCTCAGGTAGTTGCGTCTGCCCAGGTGTCCGCGTCAGGTCCGGTAGCACTTCTTTCTGCTGGCTGTTGACGACTACACGCGGTACACCACGGTCTTCCCCTTGCGTAGCAAGGGTCAGGTCGTTGATGTCTTGATCCCCTGGATCCGCGCGGTACGTCTCCAGCTCCGCGAGCGGTTCCACCAGGACCTTCCTGACCTGCGTCTGCACTCTGACAGAGGTGGTGAGTTCTCCTCCGACCTCTTGCGGGACTTTTGTCGTGGGGAGGACATTCTCCAGTCGTTCACGCTTCCGGACTCCCCTCAGCAAAATGGGATTGACGAGCGCCGCACTGGCTTAGTCATGGAGGTCGCTCGTACCTCCATGATCCACGCGGCTGCTCCCCATTTTCTATGGCCGTTTGCGGTTCGGTACGCTGCGCATCAGCTCAACCTCTGGCCCCGTGTCTCCTTGCCGGAGACCTCGCCCATACTGCGTTGGACGGGGGAGGTTGGCGATGCGTCGGTGTTCCTGGTCTGGGGTTATCGTGCCTTTGTTCGCGATACGCCCGCGGACAAGCTCTCCGCCTGCGCTGTCCCCTGACGCGCCTGGCTGGTAGTTTTACCACCCCACCTTGCGCCGTGTCTTCCCTTCTCAGGACGTCACGTTTGACGAGTCGGTTCCCTTTTACCGTCTCTTCCCCTACCGCTCTGCCCCTCCCCCGCCCCGCCGCTCTTCCTTGCTCCCGGTCCCCCTCCGGTAGACCCCCTCCCGCCCCAGGGTCCTGCTCCCTCAGGTGTGTCTCAGATAGACCCTCTCACTGGTACTGTGCCTGTTGAGGTAGCTGGCGACTCAGGTGCTGCTCGAGATGCTTCGTCTGGGGGTGCTGCGTCTGGGGGTGCGGAGCCTGGGTGTGCGGAGCCTGGGGGCGCTGAGTCTGAGGGTGCCGGGTCTGGGGGTGCTGAGCCTGGGGGTGCGGAGCCTGGGGGTGCTGAGACTGCGGGTGTGGAGCCTGGGGGTGCTGAGTCTGAGGGTGCGGAGTCTGGGGGTGCTGAGCCTTGGGATACTGCTTCTGCTGGAGATCCTGCGGGTGCTTCGCCACGACTGTCTCCCCAGCCGGAGCCTCTCTCCCCGCAGCAGCTGCGCGAGTGGTTTTCTCAGCGCACCCACCTTCGGAGTGGAGCTGCCGGAGCTGGAGACCCTGCCGCTGGAGACACTGGAGCTGGAGGTGCTAGAGTTACTGCTGGAGCTGGTGGTAGTGGAGGTGCTGCGGCTACTGGTCCCGGAGGTGCTCGTACCAGGGGTACTGGAGCTGCCAGGTCTGGTGGTGTTGGGGGCGTTGGAGCTGGAGGCACTGGCGCTGGTGGCGCTGGAGCTGGAGGAGCTGGAGTTGTCGAACCTGGAGCTGGAGGTGCTGGAGCTGGGGGTGCTGGTGGTCCTGGTGCTGGAGGCACTGTGCGGCCGTGACCCTACTTCGTTCCCCTACTTCAGCAGGTTCTTGGTGTCCCGTCTTCTCCTGGCCTTATTCCTCCCCTACTGTGTCCACCGCCTGACCAGTCGCAGCCGCCGTTACAGCCAGACTCCTCACTGCTTGCTCCTCCTTAATCTCAGCAAACCGGTGGCCTTATAGAGCGTCATGAGCCTGCGTCTCGTCCTGCCTCCCCTGTTTGCACTGGTCGTCGCGTTCCTCATCCGCGTCCTCCTCCTGTCCCCGGCACACACGCTATGGCACTTCGTCCTTCCTCTGTTCCACTGCGTGTTCCTCTGCCGCCTCCTCCTGAATCCTCTCTTCCTGCCGTCCCTGACCCTGAGTCTGACCGCGCTCGTGTTGCCAGTCCCACTGTCTCTCGTCTCCTCGCCACTGTTGTCACTGACCCTTCTTTTGAGTCCATTGCTGCGTCTGCCCTCGTTGCTGAGCTGGTTGACTTTGCTGTTGCCTGTCGTCTAGACTACGCCACTGCTCTTGTTGCTGAGTCTGAGTCTGCCAGTCCTCCGTCCGTCGGGGGTGAGTGTGCTCTTGGCACGGACGTCCTTGAGGACAGGCAGGAGGACTTTGAGTGTCTTGCAACTGCTGTACCTCGTTTCTCTTCCATGCTGCTTGCCCTTGAGGGAGACCCGGATGCACCAGACATCCCGACCCCGCGCTCTTACGCAGAGGCGATTACAGGTCCCTACTCCTCTCAGTGGCAGGCAGCCATGGATGCCGAGATGGCATCCTAGAAGTCCACAAGCACCTACGTCGACGTTGTTCCCCCGTCTCGGGCGAACATAGTCGATGGCATGTGGATTTTCAGGGTGAAGCAGCCGCCGGGTTCTCCGTCTGCCTTCAAGGCGCGTTACGTTGCTAGAGGCTTCAGTCAGCGACAGGGGGTCGACTACTTCCATACCTTCTCCCCCACCCAGAAGATGACCACTCTTCGGGTGTTGCTGCACGTCGCCGCTCAGCGTGACTATGAGTTGCACTCTCTGGACTTCAGTACAGCTTTCTTGCAGGTCAGCCTGCACGAGGAGATCTGGCTGCGCCGCCCACCTGGCTTCACTGGGTCGTTTCCTGCAGGTACCCAGTGGAGCCTCCGGCGGCCAGTCTACGGTCTCCGCCAGGCGCCTCGTGAGTGGCACGACACACTGAGGACTACACTTGCGGCTCTGGGGTTTACTCCTTCTACTGCTGACCCGTCGTTGTTTCTACGCACCGACACGTCGCTACCGCCGTTCTATGTCCTAGTGTGCGTCGACGACCTCGTCTTTGCCACTGCTGACATTGAGGTACTGACCCTTGTAAAGTCGGAGCTGCAAAAGAGACACACCTGCACTGACCTTGGTGAACTGCGCAGCTATCTTGGCTTGCAGATCACCTGGGACAGAGCACGGTGCAACATCACCCTGACTCAGTCACACATGGTGCACCAGGTCCTTCAGCACTTCGGCTTCCAGTTCTCCTCGCCACAGCCCACTCCTCTTTCTACCGGCCACTCGCTCTCAGCTCCACCTTCGGACGAGTCCGTAGAGCCGAGTGGTCTGTACCCAGAGCTTGTGGGTTGCCTCATATACCTGATGACGTGCACACGACCTGACCTCGCATACCCTATCAGCCTCCTGGCTTGCTACGTGGCTCCCGGTAGGCACCAAAAGGTGCACTGGGATGTTGCGAAGAGGGTACTGCGCTACTTGTGCAGTACGTCAGGCATGGGGCTAGTGCTTGGAGGACGGGGTCCGGTTGTCCTCACTGGTCATGCAGACGCTTCTTGGGTTGACGACTCAACTACGCAGCGGTCTGTCAGAACAATATAGCTTTTACATTTGTGTAGGCTATAGTGGGGTAGCCCATAAGGGGTACAACCCAATTAGGGTTAGTACTTGTACCCAACTCTTTGCTAGTTCATTTATTCTCGTTCGTTACTTTGACATGGAATCAGAGCAGGTTCCTTGGGCCCACCACCTGCTACGCTGCTAGTACCCCCCCTAGGCCCGTCGCCCCTAGGCCCATCGACCCTAGCCTTCGCGCGCGGCCCGTCGATCCTAGCTTACGCACGCCCGGCCCGTCGACCCTAGCCTACGTGCCCGGCCCGTCGCCCCTAGCCTACGCGCGCCCGGCCTGTCGCCCCTAGTCTACGCGCTCGGCCCGTCGCCCCTAGCCTACGCGGCCCGTCGACCCCTAGCCCAGCGCCCGGCCCCGTCCCTAGCCCGCGCCAGGCCCCGTCGGCCCCTCGCCCCGCGCCCGGCCCCGTTCCTAGCCCGCGCCCGGCCCCGTCCTAGCCCGCGCCCGGCCTCGTCGACCCCTCGCCCCGCGCCCGGACCCATTCCTAGCCTGCGCCCGGCCCCTTCGGCCCCTAGCCCCGCGCCTGGCCTCGTCCCTAGCCCAGCGCCCGGCCCCGTTCCTAGCCCGCGCCCGCCCCCCCCCCCCTGTCGGCCCCTAGCCCGCGCCCGGCCCCGTTCCTAGCCCGTGCCCGGTCCCGTCCCTAGCTCGCGCCCGGCCCCGTCGGCCCCTCGCCCCGCGCCCGGCCCCGTTCCTAGCCCACGCCCGGCCCCTTCGGCCCCTAGCCCCGCGCCCGGCCCCGTCGGCCCCTCGCCCCGCGCCCGGCCCCGTCCCTAGCCCGCGCCCGGCCCCATCGGCCCTTAGCCCCGTGCCCGGCCTCGTCCCTAGCCCAGCGCCCGGCCCCGTTACTAGCCCGCTCCCGGCCCCGTCCCTAGCCCGCGCCCGGCCCCGACCCTAGCCCGCGCTCGGCCCCGTCCCTAGCTCGCGCACCCGGCCCAGTCGACCCCTACCCCCTCGGCCTCTTAGCCCCACTGCCACTGCTGCTCTTGCTACCGCTGCTACTGCTACTGCTACAGCTGCTACTGCTGTTCCTACGTACTGCACAGCTATGGCTTCGCTTCGGGTCCTTGCGTTTGATCATGAGGGTAGACCAGTTCAGTTTGACACGTGGCTTGACGACCTGCAGCTGTACCTATTGAGTGATTCTAAGGACAGTGTCTCGCTGTTTGACCTAGCGTCAGGAGCTGCTACTGCCCCTCTCGCCACAGCTGACAGTTCGACTCGCTCACAGTGGCTTACTCGCGACGCTGCTGCCCGCTTAGCCATTCACAACCAGCTGCCATTAGCTGAATGCGCTCACTTCGGACAGCACAGGACAGCACAGGCGCTGTACGACGCTGTAGTCGCCCACTACTCCTCCCCTGCCACTGCTGCTCTAGGCCGTCTCTTTCTGCCCTACCTGTTCCGCGAGGTGTCCGCCTTTACCACAGTCGAGGACCTGGTTTCCCACCTTCGCGCTAGTGACGCTCGCTACCGCGCTGCCGTTCCTGCTGAGATCTTTGACAGGAACCCGCCCCCGATGTACATCACTCTCTACTTTATAGTCACCCGCCTCCCTGCCTCTCTTCGCTCTGTCAGGGACCACTTCCTCTCTCTTGACCCCACCTCCCTCACTGTTGACCTCCTCGAGCAGCATCTCCTCGCAGCTAAGACTAGTGCAGTTGCTGTAGGTGCTGCTCGTGGCACTCCGCGCCCGCCCTTCTTTGAGGGGTGTTCCCCCTCCCCCCTTGCCCCCTCCTACGCCTCTGCTGCTGCTGCAGACGTCTCTGTTCCTGAGGACATCGAGACTGCTTCTGCTAGTGCGAAGCGCCGCAGCAGCAAGGGCAAGGGTGGCCGGGGTGGTGGTGGTGGCAGCGGCGGTGGTGGAGGTGGCAGCGGGAGTGGTGGTGGGGGCAGTAGTGGAGGTGGTGGCGGCGGTGGGACTGTTAGTGGAAGTGGGGGCTCCGGTGGCGGTGGTGGAGGCAACAGTGGGAGTGGCGGCAGTGGAGGCGGTGGGACTGGTGGCTGTGGGACTGGAGCTCGGCGTGTCGGTTCTGGGGGTGGCCAGCATCAGCAGCAGCAGCGTCGGGGCGAGACCCCGTCTCCCCAGCAGCTTCGTGAGTGGCTTCTGCGTGGGGCGTCTGGGGGTAGTTGCCCGTATGTCATTCGCACGGGTGACCGTGCTGGTCAGACTTGCGGGAGGCTCCACACTCAGCACCGCTGCTTCTCCCGCCTCGACAACGCTTGGCGTGCTGAGTTTGGTGACGACGTCGAGCTCCCTCGCTGGGCAGATCTGCTGAAGTCTAGGATTGCTATCTTTGACCTAGAATTTGATGCTGTTCTTTCTGCTATGTATGCTTTTTCTGAGGGTGACTGTTACCGGTGTGTGCCGCCTGACCCAGGTATTGCCGCTGCTGCTCTAGGTGCTAGTGAGTCTGGTACTCTCCCTGGTACTGCGCCTGCTGAGGCCTTGCACACCTTCACGTTGGACTCAGGCGCCTCGCGCTGTTTCTTTCGTGACAGCACCACCCTCACTCCTCTTCCTGCACCTGTCCCGGTCAGACTGGCTGACCCCTCCGGGGGATCGGTCGTGGCCCGTTCCTCCACTGTCCTTCCATGTCCGGCGGTTCCGTCTGGCTCACTGTCAGGTCTTCACCTCCCCTCGTTCTCTACGAACTTGGTGAGTACCGCTGCCCTCCAGGATGTGATGGTCACTACCACCACTCCTGGGGGTCAGCGTGTGTCGATCTGCACGTGCACACGGACGGGCCGTCACCTGGCCACGTTCACTCATCGGCCAGGGTCGAGTCTGTACACACTCGCTACCGAGCCTTCTCATGTAGCTGTGTCTGCTCAGGTGTCCGCGTCAGGTCAGGTAGCCGCCTCTTGCTCGTGTTGCCTCCTGTCGCACCAGACTCTTCTATGGCACCACCGCCTGGGTCACCCCTCCCTGCCTCGCATTTGTGGCATGCACTCTCGTCTTCTTGTCTCTGGTCTCCCCAGGTCTCTGCCTCCCCTGCCGCCCTCGCCTGCCCCGCCCTGCCTCCCTTGCGTCGAGGGGCGGCAGCGCGCCGCTCCTCACTCCTCCTCGTTTCCCCCGACGACTGCTCCCCTGCAAACTCTCCACATGGACGTGTGGGGCCCAGCTCACGTCAGTGGACAGAGTCGTGAGCGCTACTTTCTGCTGGTAGTTGACGACTAAACGCGGTACACCACGGTCTTCCCCTTGCGCAGCAAGGGTCAGGTCGTTGATGTCTTGATCCCTTGGATCCACACAGTCCGTCTCCAGCTCCGCGAGCGGTTTGGCCAGGACCTTATTGTCCTGCGTCTGCACTCTGACAGAGGTGGTGAGTTCTCCTCCAACCTCTTGCGTGACTTTTGTCATGGGGAGGGCATTCTCCAGTCGTTCACGCTTCCGGACTCCCCTCTTCAAAATGGGATTGCTGAGCGCCGCATTGGCTTAGTCATGGAGGTCGCTCGTACCTCCATGATCCATGCGGCTGCTCCCCATTTTCTGTGGCCGTTTGCGGTCCAGTACGCTGCGCATCAGCTCAACCTCTGGCCCCGTGTCTCCTTGCCGGAGACCTCGCCCACACTGCGTTGGACGGGGGAGGTTGGCGATGCCTCGGTGCTCCGGGTCTGGGGATCTCGTGCCTTTGTTCGCGATACGTCAGCGGACAAGCTCTCCCCCCGTGCTATCCCCTGCGTCTTCCTTGGCTTTGTCCCCGACGCGCCTGGCTGGCTGTTTCTACGCACCGACACCTCGCTGCCGCCTTTCTACGTCCTTTTCTACGTCGACGACCTCGTCTTTGCCAATGCTGACACTGAGGCACTGACCCTTGTGAAGTCGAAGCTGCAGAAGAGACACACCTGCACTGACCTGGGTGAACTGCGTAGCTATCTTGGCTTGCAGATCACCCGGGACAGAGCTCGGCGCACCATTACCCTAACTCAGTCATACATGGTGCACCAGGTCCTTCAGCGCTTCGGCTTCCAGTTCTCCTCGCCACAGCCCACTCCTCTGTCTACCAGCCACTCGCTCTCAGCTCCACCTTCGGACGAGTCCGTAGAGCCAAGTGGTCCGTACCCATAGCTTGTGGGTTGCCTCATGTACCTGATGACGTGCACTCGACCCGACCGCGCGTACCCTCTCAGCCTCCTGGCTCGCTACGTGGCTCCCGGCAGGCACCGAAAGGTGCACTGGGATACTACGAAGAGGGTACTGCATTACTTGTGCAGTACGATAGGCATGGGGCTCGTGCTTGGAGGACGGGGTCCAGTTGTCCTCACCGGTCACGCAGACGCTTCCTTGGTTGACGACTCAGCTATGCAGCGGTCGTCAGAGGGTTACACCTTTAGCCTTGGCTCTGGCTCTGTCTCCTGGCGGTCTACCCGCTCGTCTTTGGTTCTCAGCTCCAGTTGTGAGGTTGAGATCTACGCTGGGGCCATGGCTGCACAGGAGCTAAGCTGGCTCACCTACCTGCTGACTGACTTGGGAGAGCAGCCTCGTTCGCCTCCAGTTCTGTGCGTAGACAACAAGGCCATGATTGCCTTGTGTCAGGAGCACAGAATGGAGCACAGAAAGAAGCACATCGCTCTGTGATACTTCCTTGCTCGAGAGTTGCAGCAGCGTGGCCAGCTTCGTCTTGCGTACGTGGCCACTCAGGCCAACACTGCTGATGTCTTCACCAAGGCACTTCCGCCTGGTGATCATCAGCGTTTTGTTACTGTGTTAGGCCTTGTGCCTACTTTGCCTCACTTGCTTACTGCGTGACTTTGCTTGTACTGTGATCTATATATATACCTGCATGCTTGCACTTGCTAGGGTATGATCACTGTATTGTTTGTTCTCTTTATATAACACTACATGTGAACTGGCCTTGTGGCCCTTTGCTTGTGCTCGGATTGTTTGGTGACTTTGTGATCCACCCTGAGCTTGCCTTGCTTTTCTTGACTGGTCTTGTGACCACTTGTTCTCCCCCACTTTGCCTATGGTGGTGTGTCAGAACATTATAGCTTTTACATTTGTGTAGGCTATAGTGGGGTAGCCCATAAGGGGTACAACCCAATTAGGGTTAGTACTTGTACCCAACTCTTTGCTAGTTCATTCATTCTCGTTTGTTACTTTGACACGGTCGTCACATTGTTACACCTTCAGCCTCGGTTCCGGCTCTGTTTCCTGGCGGTCTACTCCCTCGTCTTCGGTTCTCAGCTCCAGTTGACAGACTGGAGCACAGAACGAAGCACATCGCTCTGCCTTACTTCCTTGCTCGAGAGTTGCAGCAGCGTTGCCAGCTTCGTCTTGCGTACGTGGCCACTAGGGCCAACACTGCTGATATATTCACCAAGTCACTTCCGCCTGGAGATCATCAGCACTTCTCTACTGTGTTAGGCCTTGTGCCTACTTTGCCTCACTTGCTCACTGCGTGACTTTGCTTGTACTGTGATCTATGTATATACCTGCATGCTTACACTTGCTAGGGTATGATCACTGTATTGTTTGTTCTCTTTTATATAACTTTGCATGTTAACTGGCCTTATGGCCCTTTGCTTGTGCTCGGACTGTGTGGTGACTTTGTGATCCACCTTGAGCTTGCTTTGCTTTTCTTGTGACCACTTGTTCTCTCCCACTTTGCCTATGAATATTATAGTGCTTACAGTTGTGTAGGCTATAGTGGGGTAGCCTATAAGGGGTACAACCCAATTAGGGTTAGTACCTGTATCCAACTCTTTCATAGTTCATTCATTCTTGTTCGTTAGTTTGACAAGGAGTTACGCTGGCTCACCTACCTGCTGACCGACTTGGGAGAGCGGCCTCGTTCTTCTCCAGTTCTGTACGTAGACAACAAGGCCATGATTGCCTTGTGTCAGGAGCACAGACTGGAGCACGGAACGAAGCACATCGCTCTGCGTTAGTTCTTTGCTCGAGAGTTGCAGCAGCGTGTTCAGCTTCGTCTTGCTTACGTGGCCACTAGGGCCAACACTGCTGATTTATATTCACCAAGGCACTTCAGTCTGGTGATCATCAGCGTTTCTCTACTAGGCCTTGTGCCTACTTTTCCTCACTTTCTCACTACGTGACTTTGTTTGTACTGTGATCTATATATATATACCTGCATGCTTACAATTGCTGTTGGTGCAACCCTATGGTTTGCATTCGGCTTGTTGTCCGTGTGCGTATCTGCGTGTGTGCGTGGAATGGTATGAGAGCATGATATAATATATATTTCATGCTAACAATAGTGTGTGAATGATGAGGCATGATTTCTTAATGTGTGTGTTGAGTCAATAGCGAGTTATCGCTAATCGTGTGCCACGTCGTCGTTTGCGTGTCGTGTGCGTTTTTCTATTTTGTCGTGTGTGGAACGTTCGGCGTGTCGCAGGTGTGCGCAACAGACTTCCAAGAACTCAGGGAAGAATTTATCTTGAAGAACCAAAGTCTTGGTTTCAAGATTCAAGTGTTTTCGAAGCTCTCCAAAAGGGTAAACTTCGAGATAGTGAGAATAGTTACATTGTGTAGTGTAACATTTCTCTTGGTGTAGGCCCTTGTGGAGGGTAGTTTCGAGAACCTTCGTGGTTGGGGACAGTGTGGCATTGTTCCACATCACTCTACCTTGGCTCTTGGGGTTTGTAGGAGCTGGGAGTCATTCCCAACTCGTAACTCTTCCTAATTTGTGTTCTAAGACAATAGTGGCTGCCATAGTACCGTTCGTTCAAACCAACGCTGTGTCGTCAATTCTGAATGAAATCATGCAATCTAAATTGCCTAGTGTTGGCGACGTCAAGACGCTCTAGATCCAATTTGAAGCAAGTAATTTACAGCTGTGACTAGAACGCTATCAACGTTTGAAGCCGCTGGGCAGAAATCCGACTGTGCACTCTATCTTTAGTTTTAGGCACATTCAAGCTTATTGTGACTATAACACTTGCTAGGGTATGATCACAGTACTGTTTGTTCTCTTTTATATAACTCTGCATGTGAACTAGCCTTGTGGCCTTTGCTTGTGCTCGGAATGTGTGGTGACTTCGTGATCCACCCTGAGCTTGCTTTGCTTTTCTTGACTGGTCTTGTGACCACTTGTTCTTCCCCACTTTGCCTACAGGGGTGTGTCAAAATGTTATATAGCTTAATTTGTGTAGGCTATAGTGGGGTAGCCCATAAGGGGTACAACCCAATTAGGGTTAGTACTTGTACCCAACTTCTATTCACTGCATTCATTCTTGTTTGTTATTCTGACAACTAGCATCGGGGTAGGTGGAGTCACGGGAGCTGACTGGCGGGAGCAGACACACCGACCAAGCAGAAACAAGTGAATAAAGAACGACGTGGTATGCTGGAGTAATAGGCGTCCAAGGGAGGAAGATGGGAGGGAGGGAACAAGGAAGAGCGAGTGCTGGGGGTGTGAACCTCCAGGAAAGTGGGAGAGGGGGGGAGGGTGAGGTCGAGTTCGCGCACCGCCAGGGATGGATTGGAACCCGCTAGAAGCAACCAGCGTGGCATAGAAAACCTCGCGTGGCAAGAGACATGCAGGCGGAGATGGCAAAAGGAAAGATGATTCGTTGAGAATATATCGCTGTGTGCGTTGGCAGGCTCGTTCGACTGCCAACGCAGCTGAGAACAAATGAACCTGGTCGAACCGCATGTTGGAGGGATACAACGATGCACTCTGCTTGGCAATCGCATTGGCGGGGTGGGCTGTACTACTGCCAGCTCGAGCTGGCAGTTTGAGAAACTGCAATGCTGTAAGTTTCGCTAACCTACTGTACACAATATTTTTCTCCAAAGACCAACCCGCTAACGTTCTCACATTTGTTTCAGGCCCAACTTTGAAAGTAGAAGATTAAACAAACAAACTATCACAAATGATAACAAATGTAGGCAATATCTGATCAATAGAACAAATAGTGAGGTTTCTGACTGCAGTGCCCTTAGTATTTGAAACAAATACGTTGATCATACAAACAATTCCTCAATTAGCATCATACACCACAGTATGTATGATTTTTTTTTATATTGATCCATAAATGAAAATAGGATCGTGCATAGAATGATATTGATACGAACCAATTAGGGTTAGTACTTGTACCCAACTTTCTGTTCAATGCACTCATTCTCGTTCAGTATTCTGACATGGTTTCAGAGCAGGTCCTGTTCTTGGACCGATTTTTTA